CTTATTTGATTTTATCAAAAGCTAAATATAAGTCATATTAGGAATTTCCACAATTAATGAACCAAATAATGTCTATAGACTATTATAAATACTAAAATTGTTTTTGTAACCAATTAAAAGAGTTTTGAAAAAGTTTATGTAATTTTAAATGTAGTTCTCAATTCTATGATCACTTTATATTAGGTACAATATTGACAATTTCATTATATTTATAAATAAATTTCAAACATAGGCTTACACATTAATTTAAAATAGTTATTATACTGTATAACATAACTTATAAAAGCAAGTAATTGTACATTTTTAAATAAAATAATTGTATTTACATTAATATTACAAGAATTTCATGTACTAAAAGTGTGTTGTCATTTAGGTACAGGTATTGTTTAAAACATCCTGTATTTAATATGCAATTAATTAATTATTTATTTAAATGAACAAAATAGACAGTTGTTTTATTAGAAATATAAAATAAAATTATGGGAAAGATTCAGTTAAGAGATTTTCAAATAGTGTTCAATTCCAAGAATGGTAAGTATGGGTTTGGGAGTTATATAAAGGGAAAGTGTATGATAGCACTGGACGGCCAACTTGACTTATCCAAGGTTACTTATAATAGATAATTTGATATTTAATAAACACAATTTCTTATGTAATTAGGTATCAATGAAAGTGATTGGCCTGGCTCAAGTGTTATGGACAAAATCAAGTCGAGTGATGACTTTCAATGGTCTTCAAGTGAACATGAATGGTCCCAATGGTAGCATTGGCTCACAAACTATAACCAAAACCTATAAGGATTCTATTGAATACTTTAAATACTTTAAAATTGATTATGATTTTATGGTTAATTGTATGAAAATACTAATGTACATATATTTTAAATATTTTATCATGTTCATAATTGTTGATAGCGTCCAGTCAAGTGATAACTAAAGGCATTCATGAATTTCCGTTTTGCTTTCAATTACCAAATGAGTAATAATGTATAATTATTTTAAAATGGATAATTATTTTAATTTAATTAATGATCTAAATATAGGACAATACCATCGAGTTTTACGGCAAAACAGGGATCTGTTAAGTACTGGATTGAAGCTAAGATAGACAAGTCATCCAGCTCATTCTCGCGCAATCATAAAACTAAGGCTGAGTTTATAGTGGAGGCGCCCATTATTGTGCAAAATCCTATGGTTTATAAAATATATAAATATGTTATTTAGATTTTTAACAAATATAAATTTAATTCATTTTAGTCACCCCTGAAAATAAGTGGTCAAAAGAATAATGACATCAAAATGGATGCCATGATTACAAAAAGAACATTTCATCCAGGTTGGTATCACTTATGAATTAGAATGCATACAAATATGAATCAATATTTTCATGATGAATGTCCAGGTGAATTAATAAGCTGTGAGTGCATTATTGTGAATAAGTTATCGAAAAGTGTTAGGCCGCGAGTGACTCTCAAACAAACGCAAACTTTTAGTGTTAGAGACAAACATAACGCTAAAATACAGGTAACAAACAAATGTGTCATAATCAAGGGGTTGTTGGTTGGGCCGGGAGTCACTGATATGCAAACACTTCTGGTAATTAATTGCCATTAAATTACTAATTCTTTTATAAATAATCACAATTAAGTGTCTAATGTATTTGTATTACATTGACTACAGGTGCCAATTCCTGCTGACATTCCACTTTCTATTGATTGTCCCATAATATCGGTCTCATATGAGTTGCATCTGACGGCTGACATCCCATTAGCCCGCGATTTACACATCGATTTACCCATAAATATCACTAAATTTCAATTATATGAATACGGAGTCTAAGATATTTTTAAAAATATTTATAAGTTGATAATAAATTGATTTATGATTTCCATGTATTTCGATTTATCGCTAATTTAGTTAACAAAAGGCTTATTTGAATTATAAATAAATGTAATCAAATTTTGACAGATTTGATGATTGTTATAATAATATAATAATAATAATAATATTAATTTATAATATGATTGTTATAATAAAATTATATTATGTTGTTCAATTGCAAAGCTTAATAATTATCATCACTTTTATTATTTCATATCACTTGTAATCAGTTTACTAACAATACATGAAATACTTTTGTTTTATCCAAATATTACAGGATATTTGAATACATTTATAGCAATATTACTGTATATGAAAACTTTTTTCATATATCATTTTTGTCAGCAATAGATGACATGAATTAAATGTTCAATAAAAATTAAATAATGGGAA